ACTTTTCTACAGTACACTTTCACTGAAATATTAATTTAACATGTTTACAAAACATATTTTTACCCATTTACTTTAAAAAAACTCAAAAAAGTTTAAAAATAACGATATGACAATTGTCACTTTTCTATACTACCTTTTCACTGAAATATTAATTTAACATGTTTACAAAATATATTTTTACTCATTTACTTTAAAAAATCTCAAAAAAGTTTAAAAATAAAGATTATGACAATTGTCACTTTTCTACAGTACACTTTCACTGAAATATATTTTACATTTTTACAAAACATATTTTTACCTATATACTTTAAAAAAAGTTCAAAAATAACGATTATGAATGACAATTGTCACTTTTCAATATATACTACACTTTCACTGAAATATTAATTTTACATGTTTAAAAACATATTTTTACCTATTTACTTTAAAAAAACTCAAAAAAGTTCAAAAAAAATTATTATGACATTTGTCAAATTATCTTTCAAAAGATATATAATAGATAAAATTACGTAAAATATAAATATATAAAAATCATTTAAAAAATATATATTAAAAAATACCAATCAAAAAAATATATTTAAAAAAATTTATTAAAAGAATCATATAACACAAATTAAAAAAAAATATATTTAAAAAAAATCATATAAACGCAAAAAATAAAAAATATAAAAAAAATATCAATCATATATATTTAAAAATATCATATAACACAAAAAATAAAAAATATAAAAAAAATATCAATCAAAAATATATATTTAAAAAAATTTATTAATAAAACATATAACACAAAAAATAAAAGAAATTAGCGATCAAAAGATATATCAAGGATAAAAATATATATTTAAAAAAAAATATCAATCAAAACAAAAGATATATCAAGAAAAAAAATATATATTTAAAAAAAATAACAATTAAAACAATATATTTAAAAAAAAAATATAAAATAAATTTATAATAGTAAATTAATATTAAATAATAATAAATTAATCTCAAATAAATAATAAATTTATTAATTTGTAAAATAGAAATACATTGCCTGATTTAACCCGGCAATGTGCACATTGCTTGTTGCTGAAATAACAAAATTACCCTGCCTACCACTGCCTCACATTGCCGAAAATATTCCGGCAATATATACATTGCCGAATATTTCAGGTTAATGATGCTTACTACCATGTGAATGTATGGAAATATTTTAAATACCAATCTAATTTGCTAAATACCGACCAAAATTTATTAAAATGTAATTTAATATATTAATACGGAATCACGTGATCGAGTCCGGCCTTCTATATATCATCCCCCCAAGGATGGAACCACCAAGTTAGAATAAGAAAAAAAACAGGATCATTCCTGGGATTCGAACCCGGGAGCATGGGATAAGTAAGTCAAGCTCTTGCCTACTAGGCCATAGAGGTTTTCCAAAAATCACGATTTTTCAAATATATATTATAAATATATTTGGTAGTGCCTATCCAAATGAAAAATGAACAAAATTCAAATTTGATAGATGGTACCTTAAGGTAGTAAGCATCATTAACCAATATTTCACATTGCCGCTAACATATATATTATGAATAGGTTATTTAGAAGTTTCAATTTGAAAAATATTTATAATTTTATTTGGGTAAAAAATATTTAAATAACAAATATAATCCATCCACCCTTTCGCGCCCGACATATTTCCCGTGAATAAAAATTTTTTTTTCCCTAAAACTGAGTTAAATAAAACGCAAATAACACATTTTCAAGGTTTTTTATTTTAAAAAGTGTATATATATATAGAATTATAAAATGTTACCAATTGTCATCATTAAGATATTCATATGTAAAAAAAATATACAATTTATTTTGAATGATAAGAAATAAAACAATTGCGATTTTTATTTAAACATAAAGATATTTTACATTTTAAACATTCAAATCTGGTATAACCATTTTTGCAATTCTTGCATCTTTGTCTGTGAGCCGCCGAAGGCCAATGCCCTATTTTATCGAATCTAATATCTGGGATTGGATGAAAACTTCAATTTCTTTCTTTTTTTCAATCTTCAAATTATGTTTACCTTCTTTTCCATAATTTTCCTTTCCAACCATCATTAATCCTTTAGTTATCCGAGCTTTAAACGCTAAAAGAGATATATATTTATCATCTTTCTGTTTGATGTGGCGTCTATAGAGTAACCACGAATTCACCACACAGGAATCTAATAAATGAAAGAAAATTCGCATGTAAAAGCGCTTCCATTTTATGTCAATTCTATATAGTTCAATTAACATATCATGGAGATCCACTCCGCCAATACCAGCATTATAATCTTGAATTATAGCCGGAATTTCGACATTAATAAAAGATTTTTCAGATACCGACCATCTTTTCGTTCGTTATGTGGGATTTATACCCATAAATGATGATATCGTGATAACCGATTTGTTATCAAACCATTTGCAAATATTATTATTAGAATCCACTTTATAATCAAGGGACCCTCTTACTTTTTTCTTTAAGATTTTATCATCAACCAGATGGCATCCTTATAATCGATTAGATCTAATGGTCCCCGACATGATAAAGCCATTATCTTTGAGCGCAACTGCTAAATTATATGAAGAAAAAAAGTTATCCATGTAAATTTTATGATTTTTATGTGGGGGAACAGTTTCTAATAGTCGTATAACAATATCTCCGCTAATTCCTGTCTTGATGGGTGAAAGAAGAAAAGAAAATGTATATTTTTATTTGTTAGCATGAGTTGCAATTTTATATAATAAAAAAAATAAAAAAGTAATATTTTGTTTTATGTTTTTATTATAAAAAAATAGCGTAAATTGTTTTTTTTTATTATTATTTATTTATTTTTAAAAAAAGAAAAAAAATGTGTATAAAATACGCGAAAAACAAATTATACTATTATTATTTTAATTTAAAAAAAAAAGAAGAGAAAAACAATAAAGACAATATTGTAAAAAATACTTTGTGATAATTTTTGGGGTTTGGGATACTTCTTGCTAGAATTTTGGGACAATCTTTTTTAAAGTTTTTGGGGCAATAATCTTTTTTTTAAAAAATTCCCATCAAAGTTTTTTTTATATTTGTGCATTTTCCTAAATATATTTCGAAATCATATAGCATTCCAGATGATCCACATAAAGCGATTCCCCATTTATGAGGTTTTGAGCTAATATATTGTTTAAATTCACATCGCCCTTTGAAGGGGACTATCATTTCATCAATCGATAATTTTTCCTCTAATTGAATCTTTCTCATGTTCATTTTTAATGCACTAATAAATGGTCTTAGTTTGAAAAGTTTATCGTAATTAGGCTGCCCCCTAAGGATTATAATATTATTATCATTAATATGAAAGTATTTTCTCAATTCCAAGACTCTGTTTCTTGTTATGCATTGAGAAATTTGAGGAATCACTGTCTCTATAGCCCAATATTGCCTTATTGATGGCAATTTAACAATGCCCGTATAAAGGTGAATTCCGAGAAATTTTTCAATTTCACTACTATTTGTATTTGTTGATTTGCCAGATAATTGAAAAGAATAAATATTCATTTCCTCAACTAAATTGTTAATAATATCATCGTCTATAAATTTTTTAAAATATTTGTAAGGCGAAATTTCCTTATCAGGTGGGCAAAAATTCTTGTTTAAATTCTGTAATATATTTATATAAATCCTTATTTCGCCATAGGGTTTTCCTATTACTTGGGATAATATCATTATCATAATTTTCCAGTTCCAACCCAATATCTGGTAAAATATCATAGGTCATATTTAGATCAACTACTGTGGCATTTTCAAAGTCATCATCCTTCTCAATATCTACATCAGATATATCTCCCTCTGGTATAATACATGTTGAGGTCATCTAAAAATTATTTATAAAATTTTTAAAAAAATATAAAATAAAATTTTCACTTTCATAACTTTTTGCAAATATTATAGTGGCTTGCTAAATGGAAAATAGCCTATATTCAATTCTTACTATATCATATTTTCAATATTTAATTTTAAAAAATTTATGGAAAAAATTACATAAGAAAATCCCAATGTTACCAATTCGGATTTTCTTTAAAAAATCATATAAAAAATAGTTAATGTTAATTTTTTTTTACAAACCATGAAATTCTAGTAATAATCTATCATAAAAATATTATTTATTTTGATTTATATATATTTATACAGAATGGTAATCGATGTAAAAGTGTAAAAATTTTGGCGCCTAAAATACCTAACTTTGAACTTACTGATATAATAAAATAATAATTTTGACAGGTTAATGATAAAATATGAAAGAGTAAATATTGTTTTGTAAATTAATGTGTCTAAATAGCAACCATTCGTTTTTTAAATATAAAAATTAATTGATTAAAAATTTTGATGACAAATGATCTCGCTGGGCGCGAAAGGGTTAATATTATAATCATTTATACTAAAGATAATATAGGTGTTATGAATTGCCATTAACAAATATTTATTATTTTTTTTAAAATATAAATATTTGAACATTCCTCTGAAGTAATTTTTTATTCTTTTTTGTTAATGCATATGTAATTTCTAATATAAACTAAATTTTTTTATTCCGTTTCTTTGTGTTTATGTATTTTAATTTTAAATGATATTTTATACTTGATAAATAATTATACAAGTGAATTTCATTCAATTTATATAATAATGTCTAATTTGTTATAAGCCGATAATTTTAAAAAATCACTACAAATGCCTTGTCTAAAGCAATCAAATCAAATTTTTTGACGTTATATCGGATCTATTTCAACTATCAATTAGCTTAAATCAAACCAAAATAGGGTGGCCTTGTTCAAGAGCAAAAATAATTATCAAAAATAAGTCGAACCAGGACACACCCTTAAGGAAATGTTAAACAAAATTTATAAATATGAAGAGTTGTTTTTTTTTAGAACATTTGCATTTTTTATACTTTAGTACCCCCCAATGTAATTTATATTTCATTAAAAAATATTTTAAGCAATAACGCCGAAAATAATCCCAATCAAATATGGCAAGTTCCGATCTTTGATGTGAATGGGCAACTTATCTACAATAATAGCCACCCACGTAACTTATATCATTATCATCTTACTTTGCAGGGATCTAAACCTAAACCGTTATAAATTTTGTTACCTGAATCGAACCTCTAAAAATTTAATTTTAAATATATTTCATCCAATTTAAAAATTCCCTTTTTAAGAATATTCCTTGAGCTGAGCAGTTTAAATTTAGATAGTTTTGTATATTGCTTCGCGATGCCAGCTATCCATCTAGTCTATAGAAGTGTTATCAATATAACATTTATTTTTTTACAATTTTACTGAGAGAATCTTGTCAATATTTTATTTATACTAAAGACCTGCAGGCCTGGCTTCTAGACCTAGTCATATTTTAATTATTTTAAATATATCCGGGCCAGGTCATATATTTTAAAACCATATGTGTTAAATTGCCATTATTAGCTATAAGCCCAACGTTTTTTCAAAGAATTAGGCAAACGGATCCGCGAAAAAACCGATCAGCCTAAGGAATCCCTCTTCTTACGCCAAAGACTTGCTACCGCCATCATTCGCTCTAACTATCTAACCTCATCTCTTCCATCGAATAACCTCCCATTTTCCAAGCTTCCATTTTTTTTATCCCCCATCCTTCCCCTTAAATTCTATTTCTACACCTTTATTTATTTTACCTTTTTAAAAAATTTATTATTTATTACTACATTTTGACAACATATCATATCAGTTAATATTCAAATAAAGTAACCCATGACCGGAAAAAAAAATTTAAAAATAAATATATTTAAAGAAAATCCTGGCCGAAACAATTAATAATCCGAGCATGGCTATGCAATTGGTACAACTGCAGGCCTCTGATTTTTACAGATTAATAGTATTTTTTTAGGAAAATAATTTTAATTATTTGTTATAATTTATAAGTTTATACACTACCGGCCATAAATGATTGCCCACCCTCCATTTTCTTGACATTTTTCTTAAAATAAGACAAATAACACACAATATGAGGTTTATCAAATTTATTTATAAGTTTACATATTATTGCATAAATTTACAAAAAATAAAAGATAGCTATAAAGTTTTTACAACAAAACTTTATTAATTAAAATAAATTTAGAGTGTAAAGTTTTTAATCATAAATTTTAAATTTATTATCAGAGAAAATATAATTTTTTAAATTAAAAAGAATTATTAATTAATTTATATAATTAAATGCTAAATTTTAATCAAAAAGAATATTGGTTTATTATTGTTTTTTTTACCTTTAATTTCTTCTTTATTTAATATTGTTTTTTACCTTTAACTTCTTTATTTAAGATTGGTTTTTACCTTTAATCTTTATTTAATATCTTTCTTATTCTTTTTAATTGTTCGCTTTTCAACAGCCCAAAAATCTAGCAAAGAAAACTTATCAAAAATAAAGAAAATCTGGAAAAATAACAGCTGTTTTATTTTGTTTTTTATATAAATTCTTTTTAATAATACAGTATTAATATGATTTGTTGTAACACATTTTCATAATGTGAAAAAACATTCTTATATAAGTTAAATAACTTCCCATAATTATTGTAAAAAACATTTTGATATAAATTAAATTTTTTAAAAAAATTTTGATAAAATTTTTATTTATTTAAAAGTTTTTAAACTTTAATGAAGACTAACATCAAAGTTATGAATCAAATAGTTTTTTTGGACACAAGTTAAGTGGAAAAATGAGAATTCAAAAAAAAAATTTTAATAATAAAGTTCTTAAACTTTAATGAAGACTAACGTCAAAGTTATGAATCGAATATAGTTTTTTTATGTTTTGGACATAAGTTTAAGTGAAAAAATAAGAATTTTAAAAGATATTATATAAAAAAAAATTTCTAATATTTTTACAATACCTTTTTTAAATTTAAAGAATTATTCCAATATTTTAATTTTACTTTTAGCTATCCAAAAAATGGAAATCAGGATAAGAAATTTGAATAATTTCTTAAATAAACATTTTTGATAAAATTTTTATTTATTTAAAAGTTTTTAAACTTTAATGAAGACTAACATCAAAGTTATGAATCAAATAGTTTTTTTGGACACAAGTTAAGTGGAAAAATGAGAATTCAAAAAAAAAATTTTAATAATAAAGTTCTTAAACTTTAATGAAGACTAACGTCAAAGTTATGAATCGAATATAGTTTTTTTATGTTTTGGACATAAGTTTAAGTGAAAAAATAAGAATTTTAAAAGATATTATATAAAAAAAAATTTCTAATATTTTTACAATACCTTTTTTAAATTTAAAGAATTATTCCAATATTTTAATTTTACTTTTAGCTATCCAAAAAATGGAAATCAGGATAAGAAATTTGAATAATTTCTTAAATAAACATGAGTGAAAACTCGAATTTAGGGTTTTCAGATAATTCTTATTTGTTTAGAATTTTTTATGATCAATTCGAAACACCAAAATAAAAACAACTATTTATTATTTATTTATTCTTTGTAAATAAAATATTGCACAATATAAATCAATTACAAATTCAATCATTTAAAGGAATGCATCTAATTCCCTCTTCAATAAACTTTAAGGTGTGAGAATAAAAATTTGAAAAATTATATGTAAAATAATTGCCTAAAATACTCGTAACAATTGAAATAACTTTATTTCTTTATTGGGTTTAGGAGAATTTGATCTATATTGATTTTTAATTACTCCGAAAAAATTTTCTATCAGATATCTTTTAAAAAAATATATAATGAAGCGATTCCCGACCACATTCTCAATTAATGGCGGCGAATAGGATGGCAAAAATATGATATTTGGCTAATTCTCACTAATTATCCTCGCTCGATGTATAGGAGTATTATCCATTATAAGTAATGAATTTGATGGTAAAAGTGCGAATAATTCATCCAGGTATGCCTTGTATTTTATCGCAGTAAAAGCCCCATCTATTATTGTGAATTTTTTCAATTCACTTATTCCTATTGTGTATAGGTTACCAGAAGTTTTTAAAAATATAATGTTTTTCTCAAAATTTTCTTTCAAGTTTTTAAAAGTTTTTTTAAAAAAGGATGTATTTTTCTCAACAAGTTTTTACAATAATTACGGAAAGTTAAATTGAAGTGTAGGGGCTTCCGTTATGGGTAGAATGGTTGGTGTCACATCTCCATGATTTTTGGTATGCGTCATTTTAGGTTAAAAGCAACGACAACAATTAAATTTTATTTAATTTTAAAACCAAAAAAAATAGGAATTATCTGAAAACCCTAAATTCGAATTTTCTTTCACTTATGTTTATTAAGAAATTATCAAATATCTTATCCTGATTTCCATTCTTTAGATAACTAAAAGTAACATTAATATATTGTAATAATACTTTAAATTTAAAAAAAATTTACAATGCATTAAAAATCAAAAATTCTTAGAAAATTTTTATTCTCATTTTCCCACTTAAACTTGGGCCCAAAGCATAAAAAAATTATATTCGATTCATAACTTTGGCCTTAATCTTCATTAATAAAAACTCTTATTTAAAAAAATTATATCAAAAATTTTATCAAAATGTTTTTACAATAATTATGGAAAGTTATTTAACTATATAAGAATGTTTTTCACATTGTGAAAATGTGTTACAACAAATCATATTATTACTGTATATTAAAAGAATGAATGCGCAAAAAAAATGTTAATCACCAAAAAAAATATGACTTTGCTTATCATAGAAAATGACTCCACACTTTAATTAAAAAACGATTGAAAATCAAACTTCTCACTTCACCTCGCACCCGGCTTAATTACCGTCCCTTCATGGTGTTTTCACGAATTTAAACGGTGGTTAGCTTCTTGAGTCCCCTCCCTTTGTGTGCCGCTATTGTCGAATCCTTGTAAAAATCACGTCTTAATTCTACCTGGCTCCATTATCATTTGCACATTCCATTAACCCTTATGTGGTTGATTCCCTTTTTATTATTATTATCAATCACCCGTTGAGTTAGATACATCTGGAACTGCCCCCTTCAATTTTCCTTGGATATATTGAGCACCATACTAAGATGAATATTTTTCCACCATTAATTTTTGATCAGTTATATCCTCCTATTCATAATCCCGATCGCAACCTCCCAGGTTCCACGCCTCTTTTCAAATGATCTCGATGATGTATTCCCGCTCTTCAGTCGGCAAATTTTACTTGCACCAATTTGTGACCGATATTATCTATCACTCCAGATTCCCACTTTTGGGTACCTCTAAAAATTCGAGTCCAGACTATCTGACAAACGAAATATTAGCATTAATTATCCCTCGAATCCACCCCTTGCGTTGGCTCTTGTCTTAAGAAATCTAATTGAATACGAGTTCTACGGCCCAAAATTTTTTCTGCTGGTAACAATTCTTCTCCCTTTCGGCTATTATTATAATATGCAACTGCTATCCATATCTCTCCACCGCCATATTTCGACTTTCTCAATCAACTCTTAACAACCGCCATCATTCTTTCAGCTTGCCCATTTGAGCTCGGGTGGTATGGAGGCGCCAAAATGTGGCTCACTCCAGTTTCAGCACAAAATAACTTGAACTGTCCACTTATGAAGGCTGAACCTCTGTCCGATATTATTATTATAGCTACTCCGAACCTCCAAAGATATTTTAACATATTTATCACAACCTGCATTGTCAATTCCCTCACCTCTTTGTATTCCACCCATTTTGATTAAGCATACACCATTATATAAATCTTATTTTCGTCAAAGAAGTCCACATATATACGCTTCCACCGCTTGGTAGCCTGTGGCCAAACACTTTTCTTGTCCTTATGGGGCATCTTGGCCCACGTATTTCACTTCAAACAACCCCTGCTAATATTCTCAATATCTATTCATCCCCGGCCACCACACATATTATCGGCCCCATTGTTTCATCTTCTCCACACCTTGATGCCTCGCATGAATCATCGTCAAACTACATCCCTTAATTTGAACGGTACTACACCTTTATTCCCTCTTACCACACATTCATCTACTATGGCCAATTCTTTTTCTATATATCTAAAAGTTTTCTCTCCATCT